CCCGTACCTCCTGCCGACGCAGGGGCGCGCCGGCCTCACAACCCCGACGTCGACGCTGCCGGCCCGCCCCGCTACCGCGTCGACTCCTGCTCCGAACAGCTCCCCCCCTCACGACCGCAACCCCGACATCGACCCTGCCGAGCCTCCCCGCTACCGCCTCACCGTCGGAATGGTGCCGTTCCCGCCTTGGCACCGCAGCCCCGACGTCGACCCGCCGTACCGTCCCGAAACCGTGGCGCGCCGTCCCGAAATTGGGCCCGCACCGACGGTACCGTGCACCGTCTTGCGGAGTCTCGCGTGGGCCCGTCACGCGAGACCCGCCTTTTCCTTTAGGGTATTAGAGGGGAAAAAAAATCTGAAAAAAAAGTATGTTATGCAGAATAACAATGCAAATTTACAGAACACTTTTGCCTCAGACTCATGTCAGAATTCTAACCAAACTTGAGTTATGCAAGGAATATGAGCGAGAGCAATAGACAGAAATCCAAATTGCAAAATCACAACGTAGCTCAGATAGTCATGTACCAAGCAGAGAGCTCAATGCACCAAGATACCGTACAAATAAGAGCAATACAATGAACTCTAATGTCAATGTTGCCACTCGCTGTCAATGTGCCCAGCCTATCCTACTCAGCCTATCTAGCCTATCTACGTTCTTGCAACTGGATGACTTTGAAGTCGAAGACCAATGTACTTTACGTCAACACCAATGCCTACCACCAGCACACACCAGGTACGTTCTCTCTCCTCCCCTCATCACCCCTTGGATCCCCTGTTCATGCGCCTCCTACCTGACGACCACCTTCGCCATCACCTGCCTTGCTTCCCTGCAGCCCGGCTATGGCTGCTGTGCGCCCTCTGCCCTTGCAGCGCCCCTCACCTCAGTGCCCATGCGCGCGTCCGACCAGCAGGCCCATGCAGATGTTAGTGCAGCAACGCAGCAGTGTGTCTGCATTGCCTGCCAAGGCCAGAATACCTCCCCCAGGCCAGGGCGCTTTTCTTTATGGAAAGTGCGGCCTCCCGTTGGCGGTGTGGGCCTGGCTGAGGAAGTTTCCAGTCGCTTCCAGTCGGGCCCGAGGGTCTGCGCCCAGGCCCTCCTTTGTTGTTATGGGTCTGGCCCGTTTACAGTTGGGCTCATCCAGGCCGACGTCCAGGCTCAAGTGTTTGCCGCATTCTCATTGGCTCGCGGTGTCTGTGTGACGGCAATGGTGCTTTCTCATTCGTCCGTGGCCGCTGCGTGATGTGTTGGCCTCAGACTGCGTGTGCCCAGGGCACAACCACCCGGCCCTGGGCTCAACTGTACAGCGCAGCCCTTGTTTCTGGAAGGAGCCTGAAGACTCACGTGTCTCTGTAACCAAGTGGCGTGCTGCCACTGTCTGAGTACCCACATATGGAAAAATGTTGGAAATAGGCCTCACGTGGATATTCAGGCCCGACTTCACTTAGGGCGAGCACAGGGCTTGCTGGGGCCTCAGCCCAGAACACGTGCATGTGTTATGAACTTGGTTGCCTGACGAATTTTCTCGCCACTCAAACACAGACAGTCTCATACATGCCCATACATGCACAAGAGATGGGGAGAGAGGAGGCAGAGTCCACACTGCACACAGGTGAAGATAAACAGCGGAAGACAATTATGCCCAGCAGGAGAGAAGACAAACAGTGTTTCTCACTCTCTGACACAACTCCCAACAACCAATCACAAGAAAGAACCCGCGAAGATCACAATTGAAACTGTCACTGATGATGAGCCACTCACACTATTATCGTAACAGAGTTTGTTCCAATATCTCGCCACACCCAAACTCACACCCCACTCCCTATCCTACACCTAGTTAGTAGCGCTATGTCAGAACAGCCTCCCAGAGGCCAGCGCCAACCACCCTGATGAAGAACAGGTCCTGTGATGAAGTCTTCAGTGCCGCTGGACAACTCTGACGAAGGAACAGGCAGCTATGGCTGCCACCACCCACGAACCACTCAGTGTAGAGCCTCAACGTGGCCCGGCCATACGCAGATACCCCCAGGGGTAGATGCGCTGAGGATGCCCCAGCTATGGCAAGCTCAGAGAGGGCTGGCTATGGCTGCTGTTGCGGTCTGTCTCAGGATGCCGCCGGTAGACAGGTACCGCCACCAACTCCCTTGGCTTCTTCAACGCTGCTCGCGAGAAATGAACTGCCAAAAGTCCTAAACCTA